TTCAAAAACGATTAGTCGTAGAGAGTTAAAATTTTGTATGTGGGACTGCTTTAACATCTAGTTGTGCACCTCTCTTTCCTGTTGATACTGTGAGTACCGAAAGTATATATAAGTACTTCCCTTGCCCAGCTTAAAAGTCCTTACTCGGTCTTTATTTTTGCAATCGTTGGTCTTAGATATATACAGAAGTGTTTTAAATAACGAAAATATTCGTGTTTTGGCAATGTCAATTTAAAAAAATTAATAAATTAATTTTCGGCAAATAGCAAAATCTAACTTTGAATGCGGTCTCCCGTTCCTATACTTATATTTGGGAAAGTTTTATACTCGTTATGAAAAAAATAAAATTACTAAAAGTTTGACTCCGTGCAACAAAAATGGACAGGGATATTTAATTCCAAAATTTGCAATTTTTTGAAGTTATTTCCATTTTCAACTTACCTTGAGAGATTGCTATATTAAGTTAGAATAATTCGAGGAAATAATTTTAAATGAAGTGCAGCAAAAAATGTGTATAACATAATAGGCTATACAAGGAGATCATATGGTGTCCACATCAGATTTTTTAGGAAAAAATTTAAAATGCGCTGAATCTTGAGAAACAATTTCATGATAAAAGTTTTATTTATTCTTTAGCATCAGAGTTTAAATTAACTCGATGCATACTTTTTCATTGCTTCACTATTATGTTTGAATCACTTTTCATATAAAAAACATGTTGCCTCCAAATGTTATCACCATGAAGAAGAAATGCTATCGCATGTTAAAAAAAAGTAATTTTGTTTTAAAGAAAACAAGCTTTGATATAATGAATAAGGAAAAAAAAACTTTATGTTAAAATTTAATTTAATAACTAGCTGTTACTGAAGTTCTGTAGCTTTTACTGACAAGTTCTGAAATTGAAATTTCAGGTGAAAAAATTAACAAAATTAATAATACTAATGCAAATAATACAATAAGCATGGATCAACCTTTTGATGAAATTGTGATTGCAAAAGCATGTTGGTCAGCTAATTACGAAATTCGGAAAAATAACAGTTTTGAAGAAAAAGGGACGTCAATTTTCAATCATTTAAATAAAAAACATTTCGTTGCCAAATCTTGTTTAGGTAATAGAATACATTTTGAGGGAAGCCTTGAACATCGACATCAGTCAAAATAAAGAGATAAGATGGTTGAATCAGGTGTAAAAGGTTTATTACACTGCCAACATTTAACAATGAAACTAAATTTCTGTGCATTTTTCGATGCCGTTCAAAGTAACAGAGAATTTTAAAAGAAAGTTTACATTAATAATAAATATTAATAACTTCTTAATAATAAAGAATGCTCAGCTGAGTTTTAAAAATTTATTCTTTATTTAGCAACAACTCCTTTATTTAGTAATTTCAAACATAAGTACTTATCTTAGTAGATTTTATTTTCTATTATGAGTATTTTCTCAAAATTGTCTCAGTTTGAACAAAAAATAAGCATTTCTAACATCGAAACTACGAGATGTTTCACTAGCAGATTTTATGAAGAATAAGCTAATCATCACAAAGAATAAGCTAATCATCACATTAAGAATAAATTCGGTAAAAGTAAATTTCCACCTCAGACACTAAGGACAGGAAACAGAATCTACCTTTGCAATGAAATAATCAATGACCGTCATTGACTTCCAGACTGAAAGAGAAGAATTTGTATTTCCTAGTGGTTCTTTACCGTTCGGCTTATATCAAGCACCATTGTTGACTTTGCCATATCTTAAATGGTGTGTGAAAAAATAATAAAATAAATAACTGAATAAAATAGAAATAAATAAACCAAACAGAAAATAAACACGGCACTATCTTCTGACACCTCGGAGAAAAATCAAACCAAAATTACCACCAAAACACAAACAGGGGTCTCTTCCTCGAATTGTGCAACGGTATAAAAATGAAATGAGAGAAAAAGCAAAAAATATCGTGCGGAGGATCTTGTCGGTCCCTTTTGAAGTTCCCAGATTTTACCCTGTTTGCGCTCTCCGCCTTTCTGATGGGGCTTATCGTTAGATTTCTGTAACCCCCCCTTCGTTCTATTCCGTTATCATCGCTCGTTGGGAGATAATCGTTATGGCTTTATGTCAACGCCTCGTGAGACCAAAAAGGCTTCAACGTTGAGGGGGGGGATAATTCTTCGCCCTCCTCTTCATGATGCGATGCTCATATGTGTTTATGTTTGCACCCTTTGCTGAATTCTTTTTATGGTGAAGGGAGACTTGATGGAGAGTTGCGGTGTATTTGATGAGGGTATTGCTGCTATCACGCAATGCGATAGCCGTGCGGGATGCGTTGCGCATGCGAAGACTGGGCGACGCCGTGACATTTCGACGCGGTTGTTATCGAAGTTTTTTTTTTTTTCACCCCGCTCTCCGGTGTTAGTTTTTTGTATGAAAACAATTCACTAACACTCGAAGATATCTTGAGAATTTCTTCAGCTTCATTTGGTTTTAATACATTTACGGATGCTTTCTGCTGACTGCTCCCCGTAGCCCATTTGATTTTACGGTTTGCACGGGTACAGTAGACGACGCTTAATGTGATCGCAGTTAATGTTATCGTTCGAATTTCTGAAGTCCCATCCGTTTGTATACGAAAACATGGAAAATATATCATTTATTTTTATCAACAATTCGGTTAATGTGATCAAACTACTATAGAACATTTTTTTTAAACTAAGGTAAAAATGCCAAATAAGGTTAAAAAAGATTATAAAAATTGCCAAGGGACAATGAAATGCCGCCATATGAGCAGTTAAATCTCCAAACTTCCTGATTTCGATTTCAGTCAACCATTTAATAAAACTAGGCAAAAGAGCATAACGTATATATTTTGAATAACTGTATCAGTTTTTGAGGGACATCAGACACAAATCTTTCTTCTTCTTCAAAAAAAAAAAAAAAAAAAAAAAAAAATCTTTAGATTTTTTTTCTTTCCCTTTGGAAAAAAATTCCTTGATAGTATACGTCAAACTAAGGTTGCTTTTTCGATTAATTAAAAATTTTGCATTGGCATGTTCTCTTTCAAAGAGTATTAGAATTCGGGGAACAACAATGGTCAAATAATTTCTAGAAACATTATGGAATATTCATAAATAAACTTTTGCATTAAAATCATTATGAGCAGTTCATAAACGAATTTGAGCATTTTCCTGATTAAAATGCTGTCAAAATACCTATTTATGCTTAGATTTATAAAAAACTGGTTAAATTCCTTCGCTGTTTTAGAGGATATGGTTAAAAAAAAACACATCATTTAATGCTATCAAAATAGTCGTGAAATGTGCTCACATAAAACGGCCTCTACTATATTAGAAATAACTACTTCATAGAAAAAAAGATCAGAAACCCCAGAATGCTGAAGTGCTACCAATTGTCAGCTAGTGAAGTTCTCCAACTTTACCCTAGTCACGCAACTTGGCATAGAAACATACACTTAACAAAGCCCCAACATCATTTTTCTCTGCAAGCAGCAGCCGCGAGAATAAGCTCAGCCCGAATCTTTATGTCTTTAAACTCGACACACGCATATATTGTTGCAGACAACAAATACAATATCGGAGTTAAACAATAATATATTATTACAAACACAGCTGTATAAGTATTTTTCGTTCAGGGTGTATGAATCTAGCTTAGGTACACATACATACTGGGTTCGAATATGCTAACCTAGGACTTCGCCTATATCACCTTTTTTTTTAAAGAAGAATGAAGAATAAAAAATAAAGAAAATCTTACTTACTTACTAAGAAAACCTTCCTTAACCTTAATAGTTACTACAGAAAAGATTTATGGATTGAAACGTAATGTAATCAGTTTAAAATTTAGGCAGGTAAAGCTAGTTGCTCAAATTAGTGTCACTTTCAATAAAGAGTTGATTATCATTCATTTAAAACTCGCATTCCACAGATTTGTTCTCGTTAATTAGATATAATTGAATGACCAAATATTACTGATATCAGCCGTAGTCTCCAGCTTTCGAATTGGGGCCAAACACCGTAACTGAGGACTTCGCCTGAATCGACTGATCGCCCTCACCCTTTGCCATTCACTACTGAGTACGGTCAGTCGAGTAGGCAAAGTTATTGTTAGGTTGAAATTTCCCTATCTTTTCAATTTAATGTTTAATAATACCATATTTCCATGTGTATTTTTTCAACTCGCGTATTTCCTTCCCCCCCCCTTTGGAAGCTTTTTACGGCTAGGCTCTGAAACTTTTAAAAATATTTGCAGAATTTACCTTTTCGTCAGTTGTACATAATTTTTTTCTTCTGAGAGCTAGTTTATTGGCTTATTTTCGGTCTTTTCAATTTGTGTGTGTGCGTTTTTGCTTTTTTATATAAGAATTTCATCAATTCTATTTTCTATTGCATGAATTATTTAAATTTCTTTTATTCACATTTTTTGTCCAGCTACCCGGACGCTGGACAAAAAATCTTATCTACCGCTGATGTGTTCGATCTTTCGAAATCCGAGTTTTTGGTTCCCTCTTTTACTTCTTTATTCATCCTATGTCTTTGCCGTAAACTGCGATCAAAATTCATTCATACGAGATGTCACTGGGACTTTACAAGGTAATTGCATAGGACAGCTCAATTTCAATCAGTTAAAGAATAGCATAGCTGATGGATATTGATCCATCAGCTATTGCAATGTTTATATTGCTATATATTCTTCTTGGAATGCAGATTTCTTTGAAAGAAATAATGTCATGTTCTTACTGTAAACTCGTTCTTCGTAAATTAAATGACCGTAATGACTTTTCCTTCTCGATTTCGGGTACTAAAATTAGTAAATAAAAGGGGGGAGAAATACACGAGGAAATACGGTACATTTGTTCTTTATTTTTAGTAATAAAATTGAAATGTCATGATTTATTGCGGCGTATTTCAGCAAAAGCACCATAACATGTCAATAAAATTACAGACAGATAAATTTGAGTGATTTACAGAATTAATTAATTCATTTCACTTACCACTCGGTAGCGCAGAAGATATGTTATCTGAAGAAGAACATGGATACATTGGATCTGCTTTCAAATGACCCTAAAAAGAAAAAAACCAGTTTCATTTTTTGGATAGTAAAATCTTTGTTATATATTACTTACTTTTACTATGCATTATGATTGAAATATGTATTCTAAATTCAGTTAAGATAAATGCCCAATGAATTTCACTAAAGCTGAGACTTTCGGTTGAATTAGCGTGTGTTACGAGCTTTTACTATGGCTGCACAGATTATGTATTTCAATTATAGTTATGTACGATACTTCACTAAATTTACTTCTTTGTACAAGGTAAAGGAAGTATTGTAAAGGCGAAAAATTTCAGGTATCATATATCAACGAAAATATCAATTTTAACGGCTCTAGAATCCATTTTGAACGATGTTTTCACTCGACATCTGTACGCGCGGACACAATAAAGGGATCTTTTTCCTAAATGGATTGTAAAAAGGATTTAAAATTTATTCAGAAGAGACTTTTTCTCGACGTATGTAAGTACGTACGTATCCCGCATATTTCAAGAACGAGTATCCGTAGACCGTCGAAATTTTGCATATACCACTGCTATAGCATTTAATTGTGCATCTCTAATTTTCGTCGTAATCAGCCGCATCAAACGGGTATTATATATAAATATATATAGGCTAAAAATTAGAATAAATTTAGATGCTTTAAGTTTATATATATATATAAGTTATGCCTTAAGTTAATCTGAATGCAATAATTGCAGAATTATCAACAATTTAAAAGTTTTAGAAGTTTTTAGAGATGTTAAATGTATGCGTTTTAGAAGAAGATATATCTCCGAAAATAATCCGGATGTGTTTATGGGGGCTCAAAGAGACTCGTCCCAGACCAACAGACACTTTAAAGTCTCTAACTACGACGTTCCCCGGGCAGTCATGCTTCACAACAGAGGAGAAGGAACATACATCGTCATTAAACACAGCGTTAAAAACACAAGAGTTCCACTAATATTTTCACTCCAGGCGGGTCCACTTGTTAAGCAGTTTGCTGTAACTATCCCCTGATATTTCAGACATTGTCATCACTGCAAATCTTCCTCAAGCACCATTTTCGTACGTGGAATAATGACTTAAATTTTGATCATGTGCCCATGTTTTTCGCTTTCTATGTACTTGGTTACGAATCGCCGCCTATTGAGTGTCACGTTAATTATAATGGCTTCACTTATCATGTGCAAAAATCCGTCATTGGTAATATTTCTCTCAGCAATAGCACAGAAATAAATTCTGCTATTAGTGAATCAAACTTCAGAATGTCCTTAACAACGCTAAATTTGCTAGCAACAAAGATAATTTTACTCTTCCTATGTATATTATTAAAAAAAATCTGATGTGTACACCACATGGCATCCTTGTACGGAATATTAAATTATACTCATTTTTTCTTTCATTTCATTTAAACTTATTAGATTGAATTAAACCTACTTCGCCGACAGCGCATAAACCACAATAGAATAAATGCATTCTTTAAAATTCACTTTGTTTACCATAGCGACACTCTGGCGCTAGGTTTACTTAACAGTATTATATTTCGTTCATATTATAACTCAGAATGCACAAAATTTATATCATTTAAAGAATTATCTAATCGTTGCCACATGTTCTATTCAAATACTATAATAACGCTAGAACTATGTATAAAAGAAATTAAGCCAACAAAACAAAAAAGAAACACCTTTTCACAGACAATTGAGTATTTCTCATTCAATTAATTCAGTTTTCACTTCGCGACAAGGCAAAAATACATAAAAACTCAAAATATCTGTGTTAAAAATTACGAAGTAAATCTTAAACGCTTATTTCCTCGAAAAAATTCCAGAAAGGATTAAGCATGATTTAAATAATAAATGAAGGCGTTATCTTTGTTGCTGCGAAGCTAAGTTTCTCTAGATTGGCAACAAATCCGCTACTCAGCTGTTTCAAATGTAAACAAGAGCAATGGCCGCTATCAAATTAGGCTTAGCGGCACTTAAACAATTTTAAAATTCTTGATAATTCTAAAAATATTGCATACAGATTTACTAAAGGCATAAAACCCTTAACCGGAAGATAAAAACGACATAATTCAATTATTTTTAAAGCAAAAAATGTACAGTTTACAAACATATAAAAGTAAAGAAACTGAGATCACTGAGCCGGGTAACAGAGTGGATATATTTATAATATATTTACATACGTTTGGCGCGGTCGATTGAAACCAAAATACGAGGTGCACATCTGCATGTTATAGTAGTCTTATATACAAAATTTCAACGTTATGAGACTACTCGTTTTTGAGTTATGCGAGATACGTACGTACATACGTTCGTGCTGACGCCACGAAAAATTCTCTTCAGAATTCATTTTAAAGCAGTTTTTTAGTTTTTTTGGAGGAAAAGAGTCTTTTATTCTGTCCTTACGTACAGATATCACGCAAAAACATCGTTAAATTGCATTCGAAAGCGGTCAAAGTGGATATTTTCGTTGAAATATGCTGCCTGAAGCTTTTCGCGATTACAATACTTCCTTTTTACTTCGTACAAGGAAGTAAAAATTCAAGCAGAAGGACCTATTAAGGAAAATCTCCCAGCGTACGCAGGACTTAAGAGATACAAATATCTTTAATCAAGCCAGCAGAGACCTAAAAAAGGACTCAAGAATATAAAAAATTATAAGAGTATAAGCAAGAAAACTTGGACAGCTTAACTCACGTCGATCACGCTGTGTAGAAAACTGCTAAACATCTGAAAAATAATTTTAGCACCACGGGTCCAATTTCGAAAAGTAATACTAGAATTTACAATCCTGAGAAAAATGCTAATGTATGTGCCGACACTTATGAAGAACAGATCACCGGTAATAATATCTTCAACCCAAATGATGTAAAACTAATCGATCGATCGTGTTAATGACTTTAATTATTCTGTCACAAATGAATCCACTTTACGCAAAGTAAAAGAAATCCTTATTGCACTCAACCCCAAGAAAGCCTTAGGCCATGATCAAATAAACAACAGAGAACTTAAAACTGCCACCAAAAGTACTTATAGTACTTATAACCAATATAACGAATGCTTGTCTGTGACTATGCTTTCTTCCGCAGCCCTGGAAACATGTGAAGATGGTGACAAAACCGAAAATTACAGGCATGTTAGCCTGCTTCCCTCAACAGCAAGAATTTTTTAAAGAATTATATTTTAAAGAATGCATCATTTCGAAACATAATATTGTTACGAATTTGGTACATATACGGATAATTTTAGTGAAATTGTTGTAATTTTCTGTTTAATATCACATGGACATCTAAAGGAGTGAAGCTTGCTGGATAAGTAAGAATACAAAGGCAAGTCTATTTAACAATGAGGAAATGGCTATCTCGTTAATTTGGCGAGATATCGCCGAGCTGGCAACGATTTTGGAAACTAATTTTTGGAAACTAATTTGGCAAGAAATCGCCAAAAGTCCCCAAATTTGGAGAGCATTTGACGACATTTTGGTCCAGTCCCTGTATCACCGCCTAGGTACTGCAATTGAATAACCGTAATTGTTTTTAGATGGTCTGTAACGGTACTCGGCCTGCCTTCCAGTAATTTCAAGAAGTAGAAAGTATTAGAAATATCTCGGCGGCTGGATGAAAACTTTGTCATACCGGAGACAGCATCTGTTCCTGAATTGTTACTGTTGTGAGTTGGAAGTTTAGAGCGACTTCGGAGTATTAAAAGCTTCGCCTTTTAGAGGCGCTTTGGTTGGGTTGTGTTCAACGTTCTTAGGAGTTTGACGTGTAACGACTGATTGTGCTTTGTGATACTGTGAACGCCTGTACAAGTATTTCTGTGAAAGTTACAAAGCTCTGAAGTGTTTCTTTTCATAAAATGAGTTTTATCAATCTATCATCGGACCTATGTGCATTCAGTCTATAACGAACCCGTACGCACGAAACAATATTCTTTTTGAGCATCAGTTTGGATTTCGGAAGAGTTTCTCTACCATCTAATAAGTCACACGAATTGTAGATTATATCGGCGTTAGTTTCAATTAAAAAGATACTGTTCCAGGAATATTCGTTGATATCGAAAGGCTTTTGATAAGGTCTGGCACTATGGCCACCTTATCAAAATGATAGATAGCACTTAACTTCCCAACACAAATCATTCTTATTGGTAATTACAGGCAGCACAGGACTTTTTAACTTCGCATCCAAGATAAACCATTAGACATAAGAACAATATAGTGTACTGCAAGGTAGTATTCTAGCGCCTTTGATTTTTAATCTATATTACGATAAGTCTAAAAAAGATAACTCCCTTTTTGCATGCTACGCAGACGACACTGCACTTCTTTTCAAATCAGTTAGTTAAATAAAACGCTGCAACAAGCAATTGGGAAACTCTATCCTTGATTCAACGATTCGAAATTAAAAATAAATGCAGAAAAATCATGCATCATTTACTTTAGAAAGTACGTTTTGGGTCCAAACATGGGAGAAACCAAATGAATGATTGTGTAATAAATACCACGTGTAATACGAAAATAAGATACTTATGAGTCAACTCAACGGAACGCTTACATTCAAGTTTCATATCAGCTCTGTTCTAGATAAAACCCATAAAGTATTTATGAGCATCTAACCCCATCATCCATAGAAACTCTAAATTAAATCTGAATGCAAAAAAGTATCCTTTTTCTTGTTGAGAACACTTAGATAGCAGAAAGATTCAAAAGATGGTATATCAGCTTTTCCCTTTGATGCGGTGGGGTGAATTTATGACTGCACAAGGTAATCGCTCTCTGACAGCCATCAGTGGAACATCGAAATGACCTCGCTCATGTCGCGGGATACTGGCTGACTTTCGAACTAGCCTAATCGCTACCACTGTAGAATTCCGCCTATGATTCTTCTTTGATTGTGTTGAATGGCTTACATGTGATCTTTATCTTTGTTATTTGTGCGTATGTGCTTACTAATATATTTTTCTAATCTAATAAAAGTAAATAAATGTAAAATCAGGCATATCATGTTCATCCTTGCGTTAAC